AAATGGTAAAAGTCAAAGCCAAAATGTCAAAATTAAAATCTGTCAAAATGACGAAATGCTGAATAATTTCAACATGTAGAAATTATTGAAATATCGAAATAGTCAGAATTGTCAAAATAATTTTGACATGTCAAATTGACGAAATTGTCGAAATGTACAAACTGTACGAAATTAATTTTGACATGTCAAAATTTTTAGAATTGTCGAATTGACGAAATTGTTGAAATGTACAAATTGTACGAAATTAATTTCAACATGTCGAAATTTTTAGAATTGTCAAATTGTCAAAATTGTCGAAATGAAAAACTGATGTATTCAAAATTGATATTGTAAATAAATGAATATGTAAATTTAAATAAAAATAATTAGTTAATGTTTTATTTAAAGCAAAAATTCTTATTTATTTAGTAAAAAAAATAGACAAAATCATTCATAAATGGACAAAATTGTCCAAAAAAAAAGTAAAAAAAAAAATAGACAAATCGCTAAAAAATTGTAAAGATTGGACAAAATAATGTGAAAAAAAAATCTAAAAAGTACGAAGTTTGAACAAAACTGTCCAAAAAAAAATTACAAAGTACGAAATTTGAACAAATTTTTAATAACGCGAACCACTTTTTAAAAAATTTATTAATTATACGAACCACCTTTTTGTGTTATACAGAATATATAAAAATCTAAATTGAGTGTATAAATCATGCATTTAACTCTAAACTTAAACAGATAAGTTTAATTCACACATTTTGGCTTCATTAAAAATTGTATATATAAAAAATTCAATGGACTTTACTAGTGTACCGGATACTACAGTGACCTCTATTATAGATTTTTCTGGTCCTGTCATACGTCAATATACGGATAATCCGAAAAAGGCATCTAAAATTATTGACAAGCATCTGCGAGATCAGAATTTTGTATTTTTTGATTTTACTAAGGCGATAGATGATCTATTAGCGATTAGATTAGATTGTGATATCCCTTTGAAGCTGGACGAGTAGAATCTGACTTCATGGATGCCAGCTCTTTTTCCGCTTCCTGCACTTGCATCTTCAGATCTTCGATCTCATAGTGCATTTTCTTATTTGCATTAACCCGCTCATTGTACTCTAGATTTACATCTCGCATGAACTTCTCAAAAGTTCTTTTATTATAATCGAGCAGGTGCTGGAATAGTACTTTAAGCTCATTCATAACCTGGTGATTATTCTCTTCCTCATGATTATACTTTAGTGCCTCCGGCTAAGTGATATTATCAGTTTGAGACCCATTATCTGTAATGTATATAGTTGATATTTCTTTGAAAGATAAAGATGTCTAACACTCTGGCCAACTTTAAATTCGTCTCTGGCACATTAATCTCTTTTGGTATCTAATAGCTTTATGTTTTAAAAATGATTCTACAATTGGATTAATTTCGCTGGCCTCTTTCTCAGATAATAGTTTGCGTTTCCGTGATATAAGACGAATCCATGCCTCATTTATTAGGAAAGCTGGTAATTTTACTAGCAAGTCAGAATATGCCTGGTTAAATGCCATTATATATTTATACATTGTGCAAAAAATATAGAATTTCATAGAATTTTAAAAAATAGAATACCAGGGTCAGTTTTATTATAATACAAATAATACATTTATGGCCTTTTCATAAATAAGAAAAGACACGCTAGATGGATCAAAAATTTATGTTACACATGCCTAAGTCATAAGGTGTGAACAATATATTATTTTATTAAGACAATATTTGGGATCTGAGTTAAGGACTAATCTGGAAAATTCAGCAGGTGATACATTTCATGTATAGCGCCTTTGACCAATTTTACTAGGCGATCATGTATGCAGATTATTTAGCATAAAAAATAAAGAATAAGTTATATATTGCACCTTGGCTAAATAATATTAATTTTCAGTTAAAAGCAATAGTCTATAATTAAGATATTTCTCGGAATCAGTCAGTTAAGCCAGTTAAACAATCATGATTTTTGTCCCATCTTTCAATCTTAATGTAAGCTGATTAAGATGGTTCATAGATGGTAATAAGTTATTTTGTTTTACATACCAAGATGAGATAAATATTTCACTTGTATCGCTTTTGCAATTTAATGACTGATAAGAAGTTGGTAGAATCATTTCTTGCCTGGCAGGTGAAATATAAGCTGGCTCAAAATTTGAAGCACTAGGCATGATATAGTTGCATTGTATTTTATTTCTTGCTATGGCCAATCTATTAGATAATTAGCGCCTTTTATGCTTTGAATAGCTTATATAATCATAAAGTTGATCTCGCGGAATATGATAAGGTCTATACAATCTATCAATAGAATACCATATTAAAGCTTCTAACAGTTCAGACTAAATTGGAGAACTGATCCAAAGCTGGCTCAAAATTTGGTTCAGTTCAGTTTAGGTATTAGAACCGAAAAACCGGCAGTTCAGTTTAGTTTAATCTGATTATTTATAAAAATGCGAAAAATCAAATAGCTGCCCATCTAGTGATCATATAAAGTCAAGCCATATATCATTAGATTCATCTTGACGAGACGCGTTGAATGGTAGTAAAATCATGTCTCTAATATCGATAGATCACATGTTAACCCACGCTAAATGATTTATCAATAATTGGAATTATCAAGCTATCTATCAATACTAGAGACATAATCTTAGCGTCATTCAACGTGTCTCAGAGATGAATCCAATGAATATAAATTTGTCCATGTATGACCACTGGATGACGAATAATACAGTCGACCCCCTATATAGTCACCCCCTGTATAATCACAACATATAAAATTCCCCTTTATAAGCACACCATATTTTGGCCCAATGTACTAATAAATATATTAGAAAAACCTCCTCTATAGTCACAACATATGACTTTTTTTATAATCACACCCTTTATTTTCGGTCCCAAGGGGTGTGACTATAAAGGGGGCTGACTGTATTAAGTTTCGCATTTTTTTAAAATTTTTGAGCATTAAAAATTAAAAATTCTGATACATGAATTTATTCGTCGTCCAATAGTTATATAAATATGAATTAGGACTCATTGGATTTGTCTCGATGAGACGAATCGAATGGTAGTAAGATCATGTCTCTAGCATTGATAGATTGTAGTTAATTCACGCTAAATAATTTATAAAAAATTGGAATTAGCAAGCTGTCTATCAATGCTAAAGACGTGATCTTACCACCATTTGACTCATCTCATCGAGATAAATCTAATGAGTCCTAATTCATATTTGTATGACTATTGGACGACGAATAAATTCATATATCGGAATTTTTAATTTTTAACGCTCAAAAATTTTAAGAAAATGTGAAACTTAATATTATTCGCCATTCAGTGATCATACACAGACAAATTTATATTCATTGGATTCGTCTCATTGAGACGCATCGAATGATGCTAAGATTATATCTTTAGCATCGATAGATAGTTTAATAATTCCAATTATTGATAAATCATTTAGCGTAGGTTAACGTGTGATCTATCAATGCTAGAGATATAATCTTACCATCATTCAATGCATCTCGTCAAGATGAAACCAATGATATATGGCTCTATTTTGTACGATCACTAGATGGGCAGCTATTTGATTTTTCGCATTTTTATAAAAATCGGATTAAACCAAACTGAACTGCCAGTTTTTCGGTTCAGTTCTTATGGATTTTGGCTCTAATTCGAACCGTCTATAATCTGGACCAAACCAACCCATTCAGAGCTTTATACCATATGCAACGAATTTCTCTACTAGGCATATTAAGAAACTTCTTTTCCTTAAAAGTATTATCATTTCTAATCGCCTCCTAAACTCGTTTTGCAAAAGTTTCAGGTCGTTTCTTATAGTTTCTATAAGCTCTTTGGATAATCTGAGCACTTCCATCTGGGTTTTAGCTTTGGTGCATCATTATCCCAATGGTATTTCATCAAGTCCTCAGATTTAATTTCATATCTATATCTGCGTCATTCATTGAAATATGTTTTTTTTGATTTTATATCGGTAATCTTTACCAATTTCCAGCAATCAAAACAAATAGCTATATTACTCTTATTGATTCTAAACTAATGATAGTCAGAATTAACTATCTTGCTATTCCCAAATCCTGCAAACAAGCAATGTCGGTGATATACACTAAATCTCTGATTGGCTAATAATTCTTGTAATCAAATTCTAACACTTACAGCCCATGCAACTAGAGACTGACCTGGTTTTACAACTGATAATATATCATACTCCACTCTATTCTGATTATTTTTTTGGAGTCAGTACCATAACAGTAATTTACAATATATGCGCTAACATATTTCATATCGTATCCAGGACGATTATTAATAGGTTTAGACATAATCTTATTAAACCACTCATCTAAAATAATATTAGAAGATAATCTGGACATATTTCTTGTTTACTTAAGTGAACGAATTATAACGATTTATAGCAATTTATTGATTTATAGCATTTTTAGCAACTTTTTAATATCTTATACTAATGGATAACATGTTTCAAATTTGCCGGTTAAGCAGTTTTAATGATTTATAGCGGTTTTATCGATTTGTAGCTGATTTAGAAAGACTACACATTACTAACCCTGAATTCGATTGGGATGACTGGCCAATCAGATTTCAGATTTTTTTTTTAGCTGGATAGCCTGAAAATAATTACGAATAAAATGCACATGTTCAAGATGATCGGCTAATTTAATCATGTGGATTTTTACTAGAAATCTTATTGGAAGAAGTGTGACATTAATGTCACAGCTAAACCAATGAAATCTGGCAAAGTTTTGGAATAGAGTTATGGGTTATAACAATTTATATGCTGAAATAAAAACTGGACATTGTGACATGTGGCTGATTTTTGATTGATAAATTTTTTTTCGTAATTTTGTATTTGATCCTTGACACATCGCTGACTCAGTTCGTAGTATAACTGACTCACAGTTTGTAGTAATTAGTCAATAACCGTTTATGGAAACATATATATATATGATAAATAATCAAAATGTCAAACTATTCTTCACTATCTCAAATACTTTTGCCATTCTGGGTACAAACTAAATTTGAGGAAAAATCCCTACTTTTCAGTTCAATGTCAAATTCAAAAAGGTCTTTATTTTATACTACTGGACTATTAATTTTTTTGACTTTGTTTTAATTCTTAATTTCTGCGTTTGCAGATATATGGCCGACATTACGTTATATTGTTACTTTCTAGGTACTCTTATTAATAGTGCCATTCCGGTTGACATTGGTGAAATGACCTGCGTTGAAGGAGTTGATGTCCCTATTGAAAAGTTCTCCTTTGGACATCTCAAGAAACAAATATTGCCCAACAACAATGAAGCTAATAAACTGAAGCTATGGAAGTTTGAAACCCCTTTCAAAAAAGATAATGAGAAGTTAAAACTACTTAACGAGAATTTTTATAATGATACTGACCTTGAACAAGAACTTGGTGAAGATTTGAGTCCAGGTGAATTGATTAGAATGATTTTTCCAGTTGGTTATATATTTTCACCTAATCACATTCATATCATTGTACAACCACCATCTTCACCCACTATCACTGGTAAGTGTCTCCCAATGGTCTACCTCTTGAACAATTTATAATATCTTATGTCTTATATTTTTATTTGATTAGGGCCAGATGAGAAGAAAATTCTAAATTTTATCAAACAATTATCAGATATCGACACGAGTCAAAATGTATTCATAGTGCCCAAATTGCCAGGAATTGAAAAGGATACAATAATATATAATCGAAAGTGTTATTCTTATTTACGTGATTTCATATTAAAGGATAAAAGATATAAGCGATATTGCATTATCAGAAACCCAGGAATTGGAAAAACGTATTTCAGATGGCTGATGTTGGTGGAACTTCTTAAGCAAAATAAATCTATCGTAATCGATTATAAAGGTTTCACAGCATTTATTAACCCTAAAAATCATTCAGTACAGATGATCACAAATGAATATGAATACAGACGATTTGCAGAACAAGAAAACGTTGTTTGTATAATTGATGGAGTACCACCCAAGATAAACCACGATTTTACTGGGCCAAAGTTGATTATGATATCTTCGCCCAAGAAAGAATTAATCAAAAATTTTACTAAGGCACAGAGGACAAAGACACTATATATGCCTACATGGAAATGGAGCGAGATTCTTAGTTACTATAATTACATATATAATAAAAATGCTGACTTTACTCAACAATTATTGAAGGAAAAATTCACACTATGCAGTAGGAATGCAAGGGTAATCTTTAACCCTGAAACTTCATTAGAATCAATTAAAGCGGATATTGATATAGCAATGACATTAGTTAGTGGAAAAGTTCTTGAATATCAAGGTGAGCCTTTCATTGGTGATGAACTGACTCACAGATTGGCCCATATATATACCAATGATGATGAAACAATAACAGATAATCTGTATACTAAATCCATTTGTTATTTTGCTTCTAAATATATTGCAAACTTAGTTTTTAATAAACTAAATGAAAAAGAAACCAAGATGTTGATAAAGTTTGTTGAGAGTGCAAAGGATATAAAAGAGTTAAAAGGGTTTCTTGGACAAATTTTTGAGATGATTACACATTTAATTTTTCATAAAGGAGTGAATTTTACGATATGTAGGCTTGATCAATTTGATCAACCATCACATAATGATGTTCGTAACTTTGGAACTTTAGAAGAAAAAGTTTATAATAAAGTTGAAGAAATTAATGAAAAAGAAAAGTATTACCGACCAAGTGCTAAAAATGCTGAAAGTATCAATAGCTAAGGTTGCTTGTCTAAACCTCTTCAAAATCCTACGATTAGTTTCATCAAAATTTTACTATAGATTTATTATAGTTTTGGCAAAGTTTCGGCAGTTTCGGCATTTATAATAAGTTTCGGCAGTTTCGCTTTTCTCCAAAGTTTTGCCAGTTTTTTAATATAACTTTAATATAGTTTCGGCAGAATTTCACTTTTCAGCGAAACGCCATCTTGCCTAAACCCCTAGGTTTCGGCAAGCAACCTTATCAATAGCTATATACATCCAAATACTTTGATTCAAATCACAACTGCTAAAAGATACAGGATTAAGATAGGAGGGTTAAAGAATATTAAGGTGGTATTAGATAAAAATGAAAAAATTTGTTTATATTTTGCAGTACCTAAAGACATATTTGAAAAAATTTAAAATACCGAATTACTTAAAGAAGGAAGGAAGAAAGAGAAAATAGATGTAGTTGATGATTGGATTAATAAAATAGAAAAGTATGCATTGTGTGTGAAATTGGATCAGTTTTTAGCAATCCCGCAAATTCCACTTAACCAAGGCTAATCAGGCTCAGCATGAATATATCGAACAGCAATGACAAGAAGTAAAGAAAGTGAAAAACAATTTTAAATGATAGTCCAGAAGTTTCAAATATAAATAAATTTATTAAATTTAAATAAATGCATTATTAAATATAAAATTTATGATTTTAAAAATAAATGTTATTTTATTAAGATTTGTGTTAGACATTTTTTGTTCAAAAAATAAAACGCAGACAGCGAAAGAAAAATTTTTTATTATTACATGTGAAAAATAAATACAAATGTTTGGGATGTAGCCCAGGATACATGATGCTTCTATACTAAATGTCTAATGTATATCCTTACAGTTTAACTAACCACCTGACATTTACATGACTTGGAAATTTACCCTCCTTCTTTACGAAATGTCTGTAAAATATATGATTATTAATTATAAAAAACTAGGATTACAAGTAATCATAATACAGGAATTTGTAAAATAATAAATTCTTACACAATATATCCATCTAGCAATTGAGATAATTTGAGCTGTTCCTTGTTGAAAAGCTTTCTCTTCTTTTTGTATTCTCTCAGCTTGCCATCCCGAAGTCAATCAGGTATAGGGCACCTTTATCGTTAATTAAGATATTTTCTTCCCAAATATCATTGTAGAGGATACCATGCTTATGGATTGCTTCTAATCCCTTAATAGCCCTTGACTTTTGCTGTTCCGTAATTTTTTGGTCACTCAACATAGTGCCAACAATAGTTAAGCCGATAACGAAGCTCATGCCTCCTCCATAATATCCATAACAGACCAGGGATATACTTGTCTTGAATATCAGCTAGATCTTTGTACATCTTTACTTCCTTCTGCATTTCTTTCAGAACATACGATAGAGCCCTCGACAAGTCTACGCTCCAGAGTAATTGTATTACCACGAAATTCGCATAGGAGCATTTTACCACTTCGTCCTTCACCTAGTATGCCCTTAAACTTGAAGTCCATGAAGCTATAATCTTGTTGGTCTTCAGGAGAAGATTGTTGATTCGCAGAGGTGCTGGAAGTAGAGGTGTGCTCCAGTGAAATCCGTTCAATCCGTCATCCGATCCAATCAAAAAACGGATCATCCGGATTAAGAATGAATGAATTGCGGATAATCCGGATGGATCCGTTGGATAACATCGGATTGATCGGATGTTACATAGATGATCGGATTGACCGGATTGATCAGATAATCTGGTCAAATTCAAACCTTTTTTTTTTAACATAAATGTTTTTTTTTTTTAAAAAAAAACACCTTTTTTTCTTTAGGATGGACTTGGACTTGAACTTCGGAACGACTTGGACGGCTTGAATAAGGTTGCTTGCCAAAACCTCTCCAAAATCCTGCGATAAATTTCGGCAAGATTTTACTATATGTTTACTATAGTTTCGGCAGGGTTTCAGCAGTTTTGGCAAATAGGAGTTTCGGCATTTTGGCAAAGTTTCGGCAGGATTTTTAATATGATTTAATATAGTTTCGGCATTTTCCGTATAGGTTTCGGCAGTTATTAAGAAGGTTTCGGCAAGCAACCTTAGGCTTGAATTTCAAAAAGTAAGTGTAAATTTCTTTTTCTTTTGTCTTGAGAACGTCACTAAACGTTCCTTTACTTTATTTCTTTAGAAGACGCCTGCCTGGAACTCAATTTCGGCTTGGGCTATAAAGGTAAGTTGGGGAGGGTAATTTTGATCTTTTGTTTGTCTTTGGAAACGTCATTAACGTTCCTTTTGCTTTTTTTCTTTAGGGGACGTCCTCCCGGATTTGGATTTCGACTTGAGCTATAAAGGTAAGTTGGGGGAGGGTATTTTCGGGTTTTTTTTGTCTTTTGGAACGTCATTAACGTTCCTTTTGCTTTTTTCTTTAGGTGACGCCCTTCCTAGACCTGGATTTCGGCTTGGGCTATTAAAGTAAGTTGGGGAGGTTATTTTTGGATTTTTTTTTGTCTTTAGGAACGTATTAACGTTCCTTTTGCTTCTTTTCTTTAGGTGACACCCTTCCTAGACCTGGATTTCGGCTTGGGTTATTAAAGTAAGTTGGGGAAGTTATTTTTGTTTTTTTTTGTCTTTAGGAACATCATTAACGTTCCTTTTGCTCTTTTCTTTAGGTGATGCCCTTCCTGGACCTGGATTTTGGCTTGGGCTATTTAGGTAAGTTGAGGGAGGGTGTTTTGCTTATTTTTTTTTTTTTGGAACGTCATTAACGTTCCTTTTGCTTCTTTTCTTTAGGTGACGCCCTTCCTAACCTGGATTTCAGCTTGGACTATTAAAGCTGTCTCTTATACACATCTAGATGTGTATAAGAGACAGTTACAATAATGTATATGATTTAGAATTTGTTACTATAGCTGATTCAATAGAAAGCAGATTACAATAATTCAGACGTCCAATTGTTGTTCGGCCAATCATTAATCAGTATGGACGTATTTGAATTAGTACTGAAATTTTTGGATCAGCAAATACGCCTCATTTTTATAAAAATTCATTTATTCTTGTAAAATTTGTTCAAGATAATAATGTAGCTGATGTGTTTCCTGGACAAGTGCAGTATTACCTTGAATANAAGGTATTTTCAGGGTTTTTTTGTCTTTTGGAACGTCATTAACGTTCCTTTTGCTTTTTTTTTTTAGGTGACGCCCTTCCTAAACCTGGATTTTGGCTTGGGCTATTAAAGTAAGTCGGGGAGGTTATTTTTGGGTTTTTTTTTGTCTTTGGAAACGTATTAACGTTCCTTTTGCTTCTTTTCTTTAGGTGACACCCTTCCTAGACCTGGATTTTGGCTTGAGCTATTAAAGTAAGTTGGGGAAGTTATTTTTGGGTTTTTTTTGTCTTTAGGAATGTCATTAACGTTCCTTTTGCTCTTTTCTTTAGGTGACGCCCTTCCTGGACCTGGATTTTGGCTTGGGCTATTTAGGTAAGTTGAGGGAGGGTGTTTTGCTTATTTTTTTTTTTTAGAAACGTCATTAACGTTCCTTTTGCTTCTTTTCTTTAGGTGACGCCCTTCCTAACCCGGATTTTGGCTTGGGCTATTAAAGTAAGTTGGGGAAGTTATTTTTGGGTTTTTTTTTGTCTTTAGGAACATAACTAACGTTCCTTTTGCTTCTTTTCTTTAGGTGATGCCCTTTCTGGACCTGGATTTTAGCTTGGGCTATTAAAGTAAGTTGAGGGAGGGTGTTTTGCTTATTTTGTCTTTGGGAACGTAACTAACGTTCCTTTTGCTTCTTTTCTTTAGGTGACGCCCTTCCTGGACCTAGATTTTGACTTGGGCTATTAAAGTAAGTTGGGGAAGGGTTTTTTATCTTTTTTTTTTGTCTTTGGGAACGTATTAACGTTCCTTTTTCTTTTTTTTTTAGGTGACGCCCTTCCAAGACCATGGATTTTTGGGTTGATAACTTTATTAGTCTCTATTACTGCGAAAGTCGAGAGGATCTTCTCTGAAATTAATGGTAAACTTACCGCAAAACTCAATACCAAAATCTCTAATTAATTCACCACACGTCTATCCTTGGCTTGGGTTATTAAAGTATGTTGGGGAGGGTATTTTTGGTTTTTTTTTTGTCTTTAAGAACATAATTAACGTTCCTTTTGCTTCTTTTCTTTAGGAGAACGCCTCTTGGACCTGGATTTCAGCATGGGTTATAAAGGTAAGTTGGGGGAAAGGTATTTTTATTTTTTTGTTTTTAGGAACGTAATTAACATTCCTTTTGCTTCTTTTTTTAGGGAGACTTCTTCTTGGACCTGGATTTCGGCATGGGTTATAAAGATAAGTCGGGGAGGGGATTTTTTTGTTTTTTTAGTCTTTGGATAGTCTCTTCTTTTTTTTTCTTTAGGGGTCTTCAAACCGGTTTGATCCAAATCTTAAACTTTTTATAAATATTGTGTCAACTAATTTGTTAAAAACCATTTGTAATAACGTAAAAATAAATACTATGTTTATTATTAAAAAATTTCTAATTGTTAATTAATATTAATGAAAAGTATTATTAAGTAGAAAAAACTGAATTCAGATTCATCGGATTCACCGGATTGACCGGATTATTCAGATATCCGGTCAACCATCCGGTCAAATCAGTGAGCAAGTATTGACCGGATATCCGATGATCCATCCGGTCAATCCGATGAATCATTCGGATCAATCCAAATCTGGTCAAATTTCGGATGGATGACCGGATATCCAGATTGACCAGATTCGGAGCATACCTCTAGCTGGAAGACTGATTATTTAATGAGAAGCTGGAAGCCTTTTGATTTAATGAAGAGTTGGAAGATGACTTTGAGTGTAACCGAAGAGTACATGAATTATTGTCCCCTTAAACTGGTACTACTACTTGAGGTTTAGGAGACTTAGGATTCTCTTTCACCTGTCGAGTTAGATAAGCATAAGCCTTGAGTACAGGTGAAAATTCAGATTAAAGTGGAAGGGTTTTTGAGATCCAAAGCTTTGCATGCTTTCATCATAGAAACCAGTGATTATCATAGGTGGAGAGAATACCATATCTAAGTTTGTTTCCTTCCATATAATTATAGATTTGTTGAACTACATCCTTGCCTTTTAATACTCGTCTGATAAAATTTGGGAAATGTTTGTTCCCTATATTTTCTAAAACATGTTTTCTTTTAGCTTCCATCACCAAGATCAATGAATTCACGAGATGACAGTTAAAATCTGGTATGTCGGGAGTGTCAGTAGAACGCCCCTATAAGTTTATTTAATATCTGACAAAGATTAAAATCTAAAATGCTACGAACATTTTCTTCATCTACTACTTCTTTCATCACAAATCTCGGCCTCTTAAATATCGGCTATTGGTCAAAATGAAAGCTGTTCACTTGCTCGAAAAAGGACCCCGGATATCTCCAAAACAGGTCATAAGTACTTTCGGCAGATTGGCCCATTTTTCAGAGCTCAAAAAATCGTTTTTTGTAAATATCTCGGCATCCAGTGGTCCAATTTTGATGAACTTTTTTTTAAATTGTAGAGCTAAATGAGGGCTACAAAATAAAAAAAAGTTCATTAAAATTGAATTACTGGATGCTGAGATATTTACAAAAAACGATTTTTTGAGTTTCAGCAAAAAGATGTGTTTTTGGCTAAAAGTCCATTATGACCTTTATATTAGATATCCGGGGTCCTCTCGAAAAAGTCTCCCCAAAGTTGCATACTTGTCGGCGGGTCACCTACAGCCTTAGTAATGGTCTTCGAGGTAACGCAGTCTGTAGAATATATTATCAGTAGTGGAATACATGACAATGCCTCTTTCAAGCTGAAAAATGAATACATGTTAATATTACGAGGGTAAATAACGAAAAATTAGCCATTAAGGCGCTTTGCACAGACTATACCAGACACTTATGTGGTAATTTTACAATAACATGGATATGTTCTTCAGGAGGTGAGTCTGGGAAATATTTCAAAATCTTTCTTATTACCAACAGCTCATCACTGTCCTGAAGTATTAGATTTCTTAATTGATCGTCCTGATCGCTAGAGATCGACACCTTCCATAATTTAATGTCCTTAGCATCAATGTTAGTGAAAGTTTGCAGGTTTTTTGTCTTTATAGCCTCCTTGAAGTGGCCAACAAGCCGGTCCTTATTTATATCAACAGGAAAAGCGTTCGCAAGTGTATTTCTTTTGACGAGACATAGTAAAGTGATAGACATGTTTTCAACTTATATAGTATTTTTTGTGAAATATTATTAGTGCAAATTGGCATATGTGAGGATAAGAGTAAAAAAAAATTTTATTTGCGAAAAAATACTGAGGCAGAGTATATGTGAGAAATCATTCTGTTTCACAAGCCTGCCATATGATCGGCCACATTGCATTATAGGTGCAACAATTAGTACCTTAGTCATGACGAAAAAAAAGTGGCAGACACGTGACTTTTAGTCCGCATTATGGCGTTATACACTAACATGTGAAAATAAATAGTGACGGATAAGGAGTGATGAATAAAATTTTATATACTTGAAAAAAACTAAATCCCTAAGATAA